GAGCAGAAGGAGAACGTGGAGGACGAGGCCGTCGACGAGGTGTTTATGTTAGACCGCAAGAGGAAAATGAGTCTCAGATATAAGCGAAGTTTTTTCGTGCGAATGGTTTCCGATCCCAAACTCTATAACCCGAAGATAGTTCGCGCGCTCTCTTCTTCTGGTAATACCCGAAGACATACATCAGATCCCGCGGAGTCCGACACTAATCTCATTCAATATAATACTCCCGTTTAATGTCTCGCTTCTTCACTCGAGTCTTACTTTACTTTCAAGTGTTTTCAAATTAATGTTATCAATATATTTGTTGTCTATTAATTAAATATTAAGTAAATGTTTAATTGTAACCATAATTAATCATTAGAAATAAAAGTAATCTCAAATGTCATAATACTATTAACTAACATACTGTACTATTTAATTTACACTCATTTTATGCCATCAATCAGATTCAAAATCAGCTTAAATGCTAAGCAAATAACTAATTACAATATAAACTGCATTTTATCCAAACAATATTAACGGAAATTGGAAGTACTGAGGGTTTAAAAGAAGGACAATCCTTCCAGGGAAGGATGATTTGGTCATCCTATAAGTGACTGATTATTGTGAATACAGTGAATGTGGTGTACAGACTGTACAGACTGTACAGACTCTACAGTGAGATGTGATGTGTGTATGAAATGACATCTTTGGATGCCTTTTACAGTCAACACAAACTCTGTTTACAAACAAATTCAAACTTCAATGAAGTCATGCTTTCAATGCAATCAAACACTCAATTATAGTGACCTAACTATAGTTGCATTCATATTATGATTAAATATAATGTATTTAATGATTATTCAATGAAATTATGCAAACATATCATGAAAATGAATGGCAAAAGCATTTCACATAAGGATCTCAAGACATGTCGATATTTATTGAAATTTTCTTATTTGGGAACCAATTATACGTAAACCATAACTAAATTGTATTGCATTTGAATTGATTTCATAAATGTTTAACCATTTATAGAGGCCTTCAAAGACAGGCAAACAGGGATGTCGTGGATGTGATGTCAATCACCGACCAATCAATTCAATACCAAATTGAGGTAAATTGTGTTGAGAGAGACAATCATATGGTTTGACCATTAATTGTGGAAATAGTGATTACAAGACGAGTCTCTTTCTCCCGAAGAAAGCCATTGAGAGACAATTGCGACCCATATATGGGGCCAGACTTGCCGTCAGTAGTCGTACGGACTCTGGAGTTCACGCCATTGTGAACACGGCTCACGTCGATCTCACCCATCCCTACCCTAACACTGTCTATAAGCCATCGTTTATCACACAATCCGTTAACGCATACCTCTCGAGGAATGATCACGAGATAAGGCATGTCTTGAGTTGAAGTGACGGTCATTTGATACAAGAATGCAATTCTTCTGCAGACTATTGAACACTCAAATGGTTGGCAACGGTTTCAACAGTCGTGGAGCCGCTAAATGGCGACAATATTTATATCGGTTGGCGGTCTTGGACTCGGAAACAGATCCCTCAACTAAATGTATAGATAGTTTGCTTCCCATTTGGGAACTCAACAAATGTCATATAATTAAGTAAATATTGAATGAATGAAAAGCTCAGCAAACGCTTAGTTTAACAGTTGTTGTGTTTGAATGGATT